CAAATGCAAACAAAACCAAAAGGCTTGAGGGCAGGGTCTCTTTTCCTCTTAATTCAGCCAGAGATCACTGACGAAGGCGCTGCTGTGCACACAGCACTGTGCGGGAGGTCCCTGGAAGAAGCTGAAGGCTGAGGGCCGCCCACAGGCCACCTGCAGTGACAAGATCCTCTAATCAAGTAGAGGGAAAGAAGACAAGACAGGGTAGTGTCCTGGGAGGCAGCAGTGGACATCTGTCATTACTGTCAGCCCAAAGGGGCGCCACCCTTCCCCAGAGCAGATGGCCCTGGAGGGGCTGGCCATCACCATCTCCTGTGCCCTCACTCCCGCAGAGGAATGAATGAGGGCGCTAAACCTTCCTACAGAGGATCTGTGTTCTGAGAGGGGACACACAGGGCAGAGACTGAGCTTCAAAAGGGTTTTACCTTCCCCAAGGTTACACGTGGTTGAACTGAGCCTTGAAACCAGGTCTGTGTAGCTCTCAGCCTTGTGCTCTCTCCCACCACGTCACTTTAACCTCTGGGAAACGAAGGAAACAATAAGGAAGTGGAACCCATCTTGTCCAGCCAGTCATCTGTTGATGGACACTTAGGTTGCTTCCACGTCTTGGCAATTGTAAACAGTGCTGCTATGAACACTGGGGTGCATGTATCTTTTTGAATTAGTTTGTTTTTGTTTTTTCCGTATATATACCCAGGAGTGGGTCATACGGTAATTCTATTTTTAGATTTTTGAGAAACCTCCATACTGTTTTCCACAATGGCTACACCAATTTGCATTCCCTCCAACAGTGTACGAAGGGTCCCTTTTAACCACATCCTCGTCCACATTTTTTGTGTTCTTTTTGATGATAGTCATTCTGAGCAGTGTGAGGTGATAGCTCACTGTGGTTTTGATTTGTAGTTCTCTGATGATCAGCGATGTTGGCCATCTGCATTTTCCTCTTTGGAAAAATGTCTTTTCAGTTCTCCTCCCCATTTTCTAATTGAGTTTTTTATTTCTCTGATGTTCAGTTGTATGGGCTGTTTATATATGTTGGATATTAACCCCTTGTTGGTCATATCACTTGCAAATATCTCCCATTCCATACGTTGTCTTTTCGTTTTGTTGATGGCTTCCTTTGCTGTGCAAAAGCTTTTAAGTTTAATTAGGTCCCATTTATTTATTTTTGCTTTTATTTCCTTTGCTTCCAGAGATGGATCCCTAAAAACACTGCTACAGTCTATGTCAGAGTGTTCTGCCTGTGTTTTCCTCCAGGAGCTTTACAGTATCCAGTCTTACACTTAGGTCTTTAGTCCAGTTTGACTTTATTCCTGTATATGGTGTCAGAGAATATTTTCCCCCCTTAACGGAGGCACTGGGGATGGAACCCAGGACCTCATGCACGCCAAGCACGTGCTCTACCACTGAGCTATAGGCCTCCATCCCCTGAAAATGCTCTAATTTTATTCTTTTACATGGAGCTGTCCAGTTTTCCCAGCACCACTTGTTGAAGAGACTGCCTTTTCTCCATTGTACGTTCTTACCTCCTTTGTTGTAGATTAATTGACTATAGTGCGTGGGTTTACTTCTGGGCTTTCTATCCTGTTCCATTGATGTATGTGTCTGTTTTGTGCCAGTACCACAGTTTTGATTATACTGTGGCTCTGGGGTATAGTCTGAAGTCAAGGAGCATGACTCCTCCAGCTCTGTTCTTCTTTCTCAAGATTGTTTTGGCTATTCAGGGTCTTTTGTGTTTCCATACAAATTTTAAAATTATTTGTTCTAGTTCTGTGAAAAATGCCATCGGTATCTTGATAGGGATAGCGATGAATCTGTATATACACACAATGAAATAGTACTCAGCTATGAAAAAGAGTGAAATTCTGCTGTCCGTGGCAACACGGATGGACTTGGAGGGCATTAGGCCAAGTGAAATAAGTCAGACAGGGAAAGACAAATACTGTATGATATCATTTATACTTGGAACCTAAAACATACAACAAACTAGTGAGTATAACAAAAAAAAAGCTGACTCATAGATACAGAGAACAAACTAGTGGTTATCAGAGGGGAGAGGGAAGGGGGGAATACGGGAGTAGAGGATGAAGAGGTACAAACTATTAGGTATAAAATAAGCTACAAGGATGTATTGTACAACACAGGGACTATAGCCACTGTTTTGTAATAACTATGAATGGAGTATAACCTTCAAAAAATATGAATCACCAGGTTGTACCCCTGTGACTTATGTAATACTGTATACCAACTCTACTTCAATTTAAAAAATAAAATTAAAAAAAAAGAAGTGGAACCCAGAGCTTCCCATGGGAACCCCCCGGTGGAGCTGCCAATGCCAAAAGATGACCTGGAATATGTCACCATGAAACTTAGAAGGAGAAGAAATCATTTGAAAAGAAAGACCCAATCCAGCCCTCAGCTCCTGATACTGGAGGCCTTGCTCCTCCTCCCTCCCCGGGCCCCCCTCATTTATCAGGGAGTCTAATGTCACCGTTATTTCCCTGGGACAGCAAAGTGATTAAGAGCATGGGCTTTCAAGTTGGGTAAGTCTAGGTTTAAATCCCCCCTTCACTGGAAGAAGGTGGCATTTTACGTGGAAATAATCAGAAAGGATCCCTGTCTCATGCCATCAAAAATCAACACCAAACAGATCAAGAATATAAACATCAAGGAAAAATATGAAAACTTTCAGAAGAAATACACAGTGAATATTATCTTAATGAGCCTGGAATAAGAAGAGGTTTCTTAAGACACAAACATTACTAATTATACGAGATTCATAAACTTGATTACAACACTAAGAATTTCTGTTTGTCAGGATAGTTTCCAGTTAAAGTAAAAATTCAAGCTACAAACTTGAAGAAAATATTTTAAATACACACAGGCAGCAAAAGATTACTTTCAAAAATATCTAAAGCCCTTCTACAAATAAGAAAAACTCAACTCAGGGCAAAAATGGACAAAACCCATAAAGAAACAACTCGTAGAACAAGAAACACATATGGAACCAGCCAGGGCAGCCTGCAGACACGGAGGAGCTAATGAGAGAAAATGAAGCAACATTTGGGGTTTGCTGAAGTTTTAAGTGAAAGTTGAGTTTCCTATTTATCTTTTAGAAGAAGAAACACACATGATCAATAAACTTATAAAGACGTGTTCACCTCACCAATGACGAGGAAGAGGCCAGAAACACTTTGTCCCCATGAAATGCCAGTTTGCACCCATTTGATTGACAAAGCTCAGAATACCAAGTGTTGGATATCAACATGGTCCCACACACATTGCTGGTGGGAACTAAGAAACCATTTAACGTCCTCTTACAAGGCTGAATGTGTGTATACCCAGCTAATCTATTAGGTACACACCCAATTTCTGTGAGGTTAAACCCAAGAGAAAACTTAATAAGAAGACACATATACAAAAAAAAAATCATAGTTGAACTTATCAAAACAGCAAAACACTGGAAACAATCTCAATACCCCCTGAAAGAAGAATGCGTAGATAAACCACAGTATGCTCAGAAAATGGAATGAAAATGTGGCATGAAAACAAGAGAACCACAGAGGCCCTCTTCCACATGGATGAATCCATATTGAACGAAAAAATGCAAGTCCCAAGAGACCACATCTAACCTGACAGACTTTTTATGAAATTCAAAAACTATGCAAAATTAAAACTAAACCTAAGCCAAACTAAATAATAGGCCATTTAGGCAAGCACAATTGCTATTAAAAAAAAAAAAGAAATACTTCTAAAAAGCAGCAGGGAAACGCTACGCACAATGTTCAGGGTAGCGCTTATCTCAGGGGAGAAGACTGCGGAGGAAAGAAAACACAAAGGGAGCTGTAAGTTACTGGGAACGCTCTGGCCTTGGCCTGGGCGGCGGGGGGCAGACATGTTCATCATTCGGCATGCAGACATACCTAAAATCAAGTGAAAGAAAAGACGGCCTTCGGTGGACCAAAGAGAATAACGTGCCATGAACCAATGATCACGATCAATCTGATTCTCTGAAACTAAGATCCAGTCAAATCGATCAGTGGCAAATCCTGGGTCCATTGCATGCCACTCACATGGCCCAGGTGAAGCTGCTTAACATGTCTTAAACTCAGTTTTCTTGACTGCAGTATAAAACCATGAGCTATTACAAAGGTTAACTGAGCAATAAATGGGAGCTAATATATTTTTTAATAATAGCCTTATTGAGACATCAATCATTTCCCATACAATTCACCCACGTGAGGTCTACAATCCAGCGGTTTTTAGTGTATTCAGAGTTGTGTAACCATCACCACAAACCAATTTAAGAAGCTTTCATCACTCCGAAAAGAAACTCTGTACCCATTAGCAGTCACCTCCCCCATATCTCCCCATACCCCACTACCCAGCCCCAGGCAACCACTAATCCACTCTCTGTCTCTGCGGATTTGTCTGCTCTGGACATTTCATACACAGGTAAACGCAGTCATATAATATGCGGTCTTTTGTGATGGGAACCGATTTTTTTTCTCTTTCCCTAGAGCAGAAATTCTTATTCTCTGTGTGAATCCCTGTTGGCTGCTCATATTGATGTCAGCTATAACCACCACCATCAACATAGTTTTCTTTTAAACAACCGAGCACTAGCTACCATCAAAACACTGCAACATACTGTCTCATTCACACAAGTCTAGCAACACCCCGTGAGGCAGGCGTACAGAAGCCACGCTACATGGTCAAGGTCATGTGGGTAGTGACCGGCCCAAAGCAGGGATCCAAATCCAGGTCCGACTCCAGAGTCCAGGATTTTAACCACTACCTGGTAATACCTCCATATATGACAGAATGCTATTCCTTTTGGGGGAAGGGGACGTAATCACCTTGATTTTAATACAATGACTTTCTGTTCTGGTGGAATTGATTTGCAGTTTCCTCTGGAATCAGGTAGGGGGAAGGGCCTGAGGTGCTCTTTGTCTGACTAAAGTTACTGAATACTGAACTATTTTTTCCCTAGAAAAACTTACCTGTGGGAAGAGCAGCAGTTATCACTCAGGAGACCGTGTGCCGAAGAATGAGGAGACTGTTGACTTTAAGGGCTGGCGAAACAGAGCTCGCTAAGTCCTTCATCACTGGTGTTCAGTTAAAGATGTACCTTCCTGTACTGACGTCCCTGTGGGCACCAAGTCAGAGAAACAGAGCCGCTATTTTACGGGCACTGGGACAGATCTTCTCTGAGTGCCTAGCAGCCACCATTGCATATTGGAAGTAAATGACAGGTAACAAAGAAACGAGGAGGGGGCACCAGGGAAACCTAATTTGATTTAACACATATATTTAAACTACTGTGAATATTGTTACTTTGCTAGATTCCAGAATTCCTATAAAGGAGGGTCAGTGTTTTAGTTGGAAGAAGGCACTCCGGAGGGCATTCTGACACGAGTTTTATAAAGAGAGAACACCATATTTATTTTGTAATTACACATTTATTTGAAGGAAGGGGTGTTGCTTTTGGAAATTTACCTTCCCACAGAAAGACACAAAATCCATCGCCCCTTCTTCCCTCCTTAGCCTCAAGGGAGCTTAACAGGGCCCGATTAAGCAAAGAAAGTCATCAAACTTCCTTCGACAGCTCAGAAATCCCTAGGGTTGAGTTGAGTTTTAGGTGAAGGGTTCACGGTGGTGTCAAACCAGTTCCTGCCACCTCGTCACTGCACACACTGACAGGGCTGCCGTTTGACTCCGCTCACTCTGACAGCCAGGGGACACGCACTCGGGTCTGAGACCTGAGCAGAGAAACACCTGGCTGCGATCACCTGCAACTACACGGTTAACTTTTTATGAAGTAGTGTCATGATCCATTTCCAGGAGAGCAGGGACTTCAAACGGAGCCCACGCTCTACGGGTCCACCTTTCTGTCCCCGTCCCCTGGCCTGGCCTCCTCCCCACTCTCTGCCGCAGAGGCGCCTAGCTTTTTCCTCTTTGCTGAGCACCCAGGATTCCTTTTATCTTTTTTATTTTTCCTGTAAAAGTCGACAACAAAGCATCGAGTTATGTGACAACTTCAGCCCAAAGTGATGATTCTCAGTCTGCCCCAAATCCCGGTTACACGGAAGAGAGACCTGAATTCATACCTTAATCGGGGGGAACGTTCCTCCCACTCAGAGAAAAAGGAAAATGGCCTTGGAGGAAATCGGAGTCCAAGCTGGCTGGCTCCCGGCACAGGAGGGAAGTCCCTAGTGGCTGGTGTGTGGCTATAAACGGCTCAAGCTGCTTCAGCTTCTTCCTACCTGGAGCAGGTCTGGCTAGAGTCTGGGTGGTCATTTAAAGCAACAAAGATGGAGAATAAGAAAGAACTCTATTAAATCTGGAGTGACACAGAGCTTTTCCCAAAATTCACCAGTACATAAGCCCTGAGACGGCAGGGACTTCGTTGCTTGGAACTTTCAAGGCTCTCAATAAAATAATTAGTAAAGGAAGGCACGAAAGCCAATATGGATGAACAACGTGGACGAGAGACACGCCCGTTTCCATCTGCCGGCAGGATTTAGGGCACGGAGGAAGTATCAACACTGTCACCCAGGGAAGGCTATGCACCCATCACTGCCAGCACTGCTGCCACCCCAGCCACCACTGTGCACACTGCCAGCTAACACTCACTGCTACTGTCGTCTGTCCCATGACAGACACCACACCAGGCAGCTGACACTGACCCTCTATTTAAGTCGCACTTCATAACAACGCTGTGGTGTCGGGGTTACCAGCCCTGTTCTACAGGTGAGGAAACGAAAGCTCACAGAAGTAACTTGTTCACGGTCTCAGTTAGCAAACAGCAAACTAAGGATTTTAATACAGATCTGACTGACCCCAAAGTTCGTGGGTTAGTTTTTTTTTCCCGCTACTCTACCAAGAAGCAAAGGGGAAAGTGATGCCTCTTTGTGTGCTGTTGTTGAGAGGTTCTGAAGGGAAACCATGGGTCTTGTTACGAGAAAAAAAATCATCTCCAGTCAGTTCTAACATGAGCCCTTCCCATGTTAATGTTACTATTTATGGTACTGATGTTGTGGGTGACCAGTATACTCTTCTAGAACTCGCCTCAAGTTTACAACACACGATCAGGCATTTGTATGGGTTCTCACTAAGGAGCGGAGAAGGCATGTCTGCTGGTGCACACTCCATCATATATTAGTCACTGTGTGAACATTCACAGAAAGGTTAAGAATCTGACACTTAAAGACTAAATAGTTCCTTGATGCAACATATTTACTGATTATTGTAAAATACTGTAAACCATATTATGCCTCCCCTGGAACTGATGCATCACTTCACCATATAATTATCAGATTACATTATAATACATGAACCAGGCATCATCAACGCATCCAATGATTTAGATGGTCAAATGTCAGTCTTCCAGAGAAGAGATGACGTGGCATGCCACATATGCAGCCAATATAGAGCGGCAGCTGGTCTCCTTGGTCTGCTCAATACCAGAGAGACTAGAAATCTGCATAAGAAGTTGATACAAAAATGAACACATCGCTCACCATTTAGTGATAGACAGAAGACAAAACTGGGTGACGGGAGTTGTGGGGAAAAGATGGAAAAACTTATCCCAATCTCCTCTCCTAGCCCTAGGCTAAGCTCTCAAAATTCATGTCAATGGCCCCATAGTTCCTTAACTAATTAATAAGTTAATTCCATTCATTTAAAAAACTGCCTTGACCCACATTTTCCTCCATCTTGTGACCTATCTCTCTGATCACCTTTTCAGCAAGATCCCTCAAGAGTGGTTCATATGAATTTTCTCTCCCCAGGTCTCTCCTGAACCACTGAAACTGCTCTGGACACGACCACCAGCGCCCTCTGAGCCGTCAGATTCAACGGTCAACCCCTAGTCCTTGACCTCTCAGCTACACTTGACAGTCACCTCTCCTCCAAGACACACTTTCTCCACGTTACTTCCAGGACATCACTTGCTAACCTTGCACAGTCTCCTTCAGCATCTTCCTGACTCCTTTGACCTCTAGGAGTTGGGGCCCCCAAACTTCAGTCTTTGGACTGCTTTTGTTCCCTGGGCGATCTTATCCATCCTTCCTGTTTAAATACAATCCATGTATCAGCAACCCCACATTCACATCTCCAAGTCTGACCACTCGCAGACTGGCTCACCTTCTGTCTACTGTCCACCTGGATATCTAACAGGCATTTCAAACCTCACTCAACCAAAACTGAACTTCTGATCTTCCCCAGCCCCCAAACCTGCTTCACTCCTAATCATCTTTATCTCAGCTGATGCAACTCCATTCTCGATTATTCTAACCAAGTACCTTAGTGCCATCCTTCCCTCTTCTGTTTTTCCTGCATCTCTTAGCCTCCTGCTGGCTCATAAGAGTATTTCCAGATTCTAACCACCCCTCTTCATCTCCATAGCTGCTGCCCTAGCTGAAGCCATGACTGTCTTCAGCCTGGATGACTGACGCTGCCTCCTGGCTGATCTGCCTGCTTCCATCCAAGTTCCCTTGGTCTGTTCTCTGTAAAGCACCCAGAATGATCTTATTAAAGCCCGAGTCTGATTATGTCACCCCTCTGTTTAAAAACATCAGATGGCTTCTCAGAGGAAGTCAGAGTCCTTCCAGGGGTCAAGGAGGCCCCATGTGACCTTGTCCCCATTACTTCTCTCAACTTTCTGCCTGCCCTTCACTCACTCACCTCCAGCTCCATCCTTGCTTTCCCTAAACATACCAAACCCACTCTGCCTCAGGGTCTTTGCACTTACTGCTTCTTCTACCTGAAGTTCTTCGATAACCACACGGCTCCTCCTTGACTTCATTAAGGCCCCTGCTTAAATGTTGCTGCCTCAGGGAGCTTTCTTGACCAAAATCCCACTTCTTTACCCCTCGTCCTGTCCTCTTAACTGGCTTTATTTTTCTTCACTGCATGTATCACCAGCTGATACTTTATGTGGTCTGTCTGCCCTTGCTTCACGGTAATCTCTACGAAGGCTGGAATTTTGGATATTGTATCCTGCTAGAATGGTTCCTGATGCCCCTTAGGTGTTTAATGAACACTTACTGAATGAATGGTTCACTTCCTGGAGGAACTGAATCTTAAAGACCAGGTAAGAATTAACCAGGCAGGTGGGAATGGAAGAAGATTCTGGGCAGAGGAAATGCCCGCTTGATACCACAGAGGCCGGAAAGAACTCGGCAGATTTGGTAACTTACAGGTAATTCTAAATGACTCTCAAGGAGCCTCCCCATTAATACTCATGTCCTTTCAAGGGTTTCTTGCAGAGAGGGACCCCTTCATTCCTGGCTTATCAGGCCATTGCTTGACTTGTTCTAGGAAGAGTCTTGAAATGTGAGCTGGCTAACTGCTTCCCAGCTCAAGAGCTCCAGCCTGAGGACCAGAAGCCAGGGGGTGGCATGGGAAGGAAGTGAAGGCACAAGAGGAGGGAGGAGCTCTCGGGTTAAACCTGTGAGTTCATTAACCCGGAAAGGTGGGTCCAGGAAAGCCATCCAGCTGGTAATGGGCCTTGCCTGTGTGACCCAGCAGCTGCCAGCAAGGCAGCCACACCGAGTCGGCTGACGGAAGCAGAGCTCTCCAAGGCCTGATGCATGAGGCTGTAAAGAGCTCACCGAAAGGCACTGCAGAGCCATTTACCGTCCCAGCAAGATGCTGCCAAATGGGCCCAGAACTAATCCGAGAAGAGGGCGTCCTGATCCCAGCTCACAATGCACACGGGCAAGTCGCCCAGTGCCTCCCGGGCGGCCTAAGTTCCCTGCACGCTGGGAGGCTAAGTCCCACTGAGCGTGTGGCCCATTGGTAGAGGTCCGCTGGCTCCCAAAGGCTGTGGGACTTCCATACGCGGCCTCCACAACGAGGCTGCTTCATGCTCCTCTTGCTTCCTCCACTGAAGCATCCAAAGCACTTTACCAGGGAGGGCTCTTTGTGCCATTAGCTGGTGAGGCTCAGGGAAGCCAGGTTGGCCTGCAGCCACCTGGCATGCCAGCTCCTGAGGTCGTAACGGAGCCCTAGACCGCCCAGCCTGGCACGGCCACTGGGTGGCCCCCTTCCAGAGACTGCAGAGGACAGCAGGGGGAATGAGGCAGACAGAGGGCTCGGGCTTGCGGGGGGGTGGGGGTGGGGGGCTCCGCAGATCCGTCC